TGTAAAGTTTTGAATTCAGTGTGTTATATCAAGAAAAATCAAGACAGATGAGTCATACCTGATCATACACTTTGTAATATAATGTCTTGATAAATATTCTAAACAATTATTATTTGCAAGTACAGTTTTAATCATAAAGATCATATCTGCACTAGAAGACATTTGAAAATAAAAATGCTTGCTCAGAAGTAAGGGCTTAGTTCAAGTCTACAGGTAACTAGGAATTGCATTCTTCATGCTGTAACTTATGTAGCAAGCCTGTGTGCCAATAGTTGGTTTCTTGCACTTTCATTCATACCCTTTTTAAATATTTGTCATCAACAAGTTGTTGCAGATTGATGCTTTGGGTAGAGTGGATTGAAAACATGATGCGACTTACACTTCTTCTATTGCCTGTGCTATATCATGTAATTCCTTTCAGAATTTTTTGCTTCATCTTTAAAATCTCTAGACAACTTATTCCCACAATCTTCTTTGCAAATGCATTCTGGAACATCATTTTTGATTGCAAAGATACTTCCACTAACTCAGCCTAAATGTTTTCCTGTTTGCTGCTGTACCAAAACAGCCCTCTCTTGGGGAAGTTACCTGTTGGGATGAGTTTTTTCTCTTGGGACTTTACAGATTCTAAGCACAGAAGGAGATTGTCGTACTTCTTTTCAGTGGCTGCTTTATGTAGTCTAAAGAAATCGTACTGCCTTAGGCATTTCTTGTTAGAATCCACTCCCCTGGTTATTGTAAAGGCTTTTCCAGTTGTGATTTGTCTTCTGTGAATGCTGTAATCAAGCTTGTATACCACTACTAGGGGAAATAGAGTATGCTGATTTTTTAACACGCTGGTCAGATTGGTAATTCATCATTGTTTCTTTGGTTACCTATTTTTATTGGAGCTCTTGTTCCAGTGAAGGGCTCCTGGCTTGCACCTGAAGTTACAGATATACTATTCACATTCTATTTCTATTGTTCTCTATTGTTTCATGTATTTTGTTATTCCAAATGTTTTGCACATTCTGATCTTACCTTCCAAAATGTTAGTTTTTCTTATTTGTATGTTATCTGTTGTTACAGCAAATCCACTAAATAGGTCTCCAGAAAAAATCAGCTGATAAGCTCTCAAATGTTAAAGCTTTCTGTCTATAAACAACCTTTCGTTGTTATTTACCCAGGTATTTTACTAATGACCATATTTTTCACCTTCCACTAATGAATTAAACAGCCATATATCAAAAGTTGAAGACCAGATAAATGAGAGAGAACTTTTCTAGCCAAATGAAGTGCAATATATTGTATTAACAGAAACATTATACCTTAAATTTAGTCTAATATTTTTTGCAGAACTATATTGTCGTAATCTTGTGTTGTGTTGTCTTAGAAACTTGTTCAAAAGTCCTTTCATACTACCAGGTGAAGACTATTATACTTTTTTCCCTCAGCTAATGTTTTTGGGTTTTTTTTCTAGTAAACAAATCCTACATTTGCTGTTCCCAAATAATAATAATAGTAGGTATTAGGTCATTTCAAATGGCATGTTAATTTCATAGAGATTTGCAATTTGCTTCCACATCAGCTGAGAGAACTTTATATTAGCTGATTTAGCATTACTCATCCGCGGTCATTTATCTACCTTGTCTTAGTTCCACGCTATTCATGTTCATTAACACTGAAGTGAAAAGTTCACCCAGTTTGATTGTGTTCAGATTATTATACATGTGTAGCAACAATCACTGTTCTGTTCGTAATGCAATCTTTCACAGACACACACACATACACCCTTTGTATGTCTAAATCTTCAGTTTCTGATTTAATTTTGGTGGTTTATCAGAGATCTCCTTATTTGAAATTGGCAGTCTAGTTCCAGAGTATTAATGTTCAGAATGTCATTTAACATTAAAAAACTGACCACAAATACTAAATGCTTTATACACAGAAAATTTGCCTATAGATGCATGATATTGCTATTCCTCAACATTCATAAGTGGATGGACCTTACGCCACTCTTTTTCATATGCACTTTCATGTTATGGCCTACTCTAATTCCTTTTTATTTTCCTCGTTTGTTCTGTTTCCTGTAACGGGTCAGGAATTATGAAAACTTTAGGTATCTTGATATTAAGATAGCCTGCTCATTGCAAATGTGACTTTATTTGTTCATTGTATTATATTTTTTTTTTTTCCCTCTTGCTGTGCCTCTCAGCTTGCTTGGGGCTCTTCAGCAGTGTAAGAAGCAATGATATTGTTCTATGGAAGAAGAAAGTTATTTTTGTCTTCAATATAATCATTAAAAGTGGCCAAAATCTGTTGACTAACACTGGTCTAAATTGTGGGACCTGCAAGACAACGAGTCTTACTGTAAGCTCCTAAAAACGCACTCATTTTTAAAATAGGCTATATGTGCTAAACCAAATCTGCGATAGAATATTAGGGTGAAATCCAAATTAAAACAAATCAGGCTTGTAGTTAACAGATCAATTAATGATTAAGCATTTTTTTTACTTTCCAGTTCTGTTCAATACCTATAGTGAATCTGGCTCTTCGCTAAGAGCCTAATAGAGCCAGTCATAAGATGGAAACAGCTTGCAAATTTTTTTGTGTGCGTACATTTTTGTCTCTTTAGTGCTTGGGACCAACCTGGAAAAGAAAGAATGAGGAAGAAAATTATTTGTTCCAGGTGAACCCCTATCCTTGTGTACACTTGAAGATATCTAAAAGAGAAATCAGGGTTACATATTTTACTTCCACTGACAATTTCTGTTGGAAATAAGTTTCTCAGTTTAGAAAGTAGTTTTTGTCTTTGATTTTTGTCTACAAGTTTCTATAGGTAGTACAAAAAAAAAAAAAAAAAAGGAGGAGGAAATCAAGGAGGTAGCTGGTAATATGTGAAGTACCTCAGCAAGAACTGTGGGAAAAGGCTGAGATTTATGTTGAATTGTATTTATGAATTTTAATGAAGGCTAACTGAAAATGCAGTTCTTTGTTTGGTTCTCACTTAATCACCTGACGACTTAGATTAAGATGCAGTGCTGAGATCAGACCTAGCATAAATTTTACTTTGAGGAGTTAAAAATCTCATCCATGTGTTCTACAGCTTCCTTAATTTGTGTGTCTTTATACTGTATATTTTGATATTCTAAAAATAGGGTGCTGTTTAGCAGTTGCAGTAATTAGCAGGTAGAGTAGCACACTCAGCAAAAGAGAAATGGAAGGCTGAAGTATTTATGAAGTGTTGATGGATTTTTGTCTTTTTCTGCCAACCCTTATTTTTAATGAAGATTGAATGATATTGTAATTTTTCCACACATAACATATTCTAACATAATAACTAACTAACTCTATGTATTATAGTTACATTCATTAAATGTTTCAGACCAACTGGATGTGTATTAGTTTGGACAAAGTGTATTCACAGACCTTTGATTTAGAAAAAATTAATACAGACAACAATAAATCAATGAATAAGCATGTGTAGGAGAAAGAGCACAAAGAAAAATAATTGTTGTATGCTTTAGACAAGAGTCTGGCCTTGCATATTTATGTGTGAACTGAGAGAAGCTAATTTATTAATTTATTTTTCAGAAGCTTAGTTTTTTAAGGGTTTTAGGTGGAATGTAATTAAAACTGGTATTTCAGAGTCTTCTGCTGGTTGCTACTCTTGCTCTGCTCCCTTTCATCTTCCACCAGAGAGAACTTTATGTATGTGTTGTATATTATACATCATGTTTTAAATTACATTGTATAATTTAAATTTATCAAGTAATACACTGATGATCATCGTGTATTTGAACCAGGTGCTGTTTTAGGATTGGTGTGCTCTTACATCAGGTCTGGATTTAGTTTAATAAATCTAAACGTAATAGAGAACCAGGGCAGAATACCTTTTGCATTAATAAGCTGTGTTTAAACTTGAACATTTGAGAGCTTAAATGTGCATTTAACCTCCTACACTTTGTGTGAGTCAGAAGTGTTTTACTGTAATATAAATCTTTTGCGTAAAGTCATTATCTTCCCACTCTGTGGCGGGGAAATTTATATTAACTTCAAGCCTGAGAGATGTGAATAAAATGTCCACCTACCTGCTGAGTCTAGTCTATATTTTAGTTTTGGGTTATAACACAGACACGTGAGAAGAAAAAGAGGCATTCATCAATAGTTTTGTAACATTGCAGGTCTTTGACCTCTGTTTCTCATGCTGTTGAATGCTGCTGCCAACTGTTACTAACAGACTGAAATGCAAAGGAATTTAAGGACTTTAATAGGTAAAAAGGAAGTAATCTTTCCACCCAGATTTCAATAATTCACCATAAAGTCCAGCAGTTTGAAGGCTAGAGGTTAGCTTGGATAAGAAAAAAGCAAGAGAAAGATTTAGCAGTAGAATTCAGCTTTTAAGAAATGTTGTGCCAACTACTTTCACTGCATGATTCTCTCCTCTTTGTTCTTTCTTTACCTTACCTTAGATCATCCATGGTATACTGTTATGTGTGTAGCATACGGCGTATGTATCCTCACTTGTTGTATAGAGAAATTATTTTTTTTTCAAGGATTTAATGCATTATGAAGATGGGAGTCAACATGTAAAATATTTGCAGTACTACAGTATTTAATATTATGCCATTCAATTTCATCAGATTTTCCATGTGTATTGCATTAAATCAACAAGAGATGACCTGTTTCTACTTCAGGAAGGTCTTAAAAGAATTTAACAGTGAAACAGCAGTCATTCACCAGCAGCTGTCTATCTGCATGCTGAAGATGTCATCAATAATGCATAAGATTTTGTCTAAGTTGAAAGAACAGTAGGATTGGCATCAATTTTGCTTAATAGAGCATCATACAGAAACTAGACAGTGATACCAGAAGCACTGACAGCATCCATTACATTAAAATGTATATGTCTCTTTATTTGGAAGCATTAAGTAAACTTGACAACACTTATACTTTTTTTTTTTTCCTAAAGTCCGATTTCAGTTGCACTGAAATTAATATTATTTTTCTCCTATTCTCAGAGGGTGATGAGACAGGAGTGATGGATAGTCTGCTTGAGGCCTTGCAGTCAGGAGCAGCATTCAGAGATCGCAGGAAACGAACACCACGAGGACAAGGTAAGATGCTTTCTAAAAACTTTTGGTTATAAACTGAGTGGGCAAAAGTTCTTTTTCAAATATCTATGCACGGTTTTTACTGAAAACCATTGAGCTACTGTAAAAACTCAGCATGCTCTTTGTGATCTAAGATTTTCAACTTGATGGCTCTATGTTCAGATAACTATGTGCTCTAAGACATGATGAGGGTTCCTGTTGTGTTTGAAATGGCATTTAAAGCATTGCTGCACAAAGTATGTTTGTCTTAATCTTTAAAATGGTGTCATTGATTTATTGTAGATGGCGCTGTGAAAAATATTAGCGTCTTGCGCTAATAAGAGTTAGGGCATATAGCTGATAGTCTTTTTCAAGCGCTGGTCTTAGATATGTCCTGGTGTGGTTGGAAGTTGTTGTGTGTGTAGTCATAAAAGTCGAATTACAGTAAAGTAGCTTCACATTATCGCAGGAGACCATAGTATTGTACTGAATTTAGCCTGGTTTACTGGTTTAGTCTGAGCAATTATTGCTTCCTGCAAAGTTGGTTTGGAGAAAATTTGAGAGAAGGCTAAGCAACGGCATTGTTTCCTCTATTCATTTCTCCGCTGTATGCCAGTTGCATACAGTTTGTGAACTGCATTTACTTGCCATTTACTTCTTATCAAAGCTCATGTAGTATATGGTATACCTGTGTTTTGTAATTTTTCATTTAAAATATGTCTTACAGTAAAAATGTACAGTTTAAAAACTATACTTATTTGGCATAAAATCAAAATCTTATGTTGGATATGTGCTGCTAAAGGATTGGCAAAACGGAAACATCTTGTTTTATAAATAAACCATGTCTATCTACCTAACTCTCAATGAGCTAGGGTTAGATTCATGTCCGCTGATCTTTTTTTTTAGAGGAACAGAAGAGTAAAGGCAAATTCTATTACCCTTTTTCATCTATCTAGCAAGGATGGCATATTGGTTTTTTTTTATTTGCCATATGCCTCATCTTATGGAAAAGGTAAAAATAAGTTACATAATTTTTCATGCTAAGGAATGAATTCTGCTGCAATCCCACTATCATTCTTAATTCAGAGCTTGTTTCTGCTCTCAGATCAGAACTGAAAGAACTCCTCGATCAAAATGTGTTTTTTTCCGTATCTTGAGAAATATCAATGTGAGAGATGGTCTTTCTGTATTGTGGCTTGAGGAGAGATTTGTCACCCAGTGGTGACAAAGAAAAGCTTCCCAGGGACCAGAGGAGATTGCACAAAGTCTGCTGCAGCTGAGAAAGCCAACAAGATGACTGAACCCAGGTCCAAAACCAGTGACTCCTCTGCGACAATAGGGGATGGAGCTAATTAAAAATCCCTTTTATTGCTCTTCTGTTTTGCATAGTCACTTTGACTTCTGTGTGTTTGAAATCTCATTGTGTCAGTTTATATTCTATGGGGGTCTGGCTCTTAAATTTAAGGAGTTGATTCATTTTGGGGAACGTACTGTGAGAAAACGCCTAGGTAATCTGTTTCCAGGCTCTGGCCTACTGTAGATCTTCTTGTGAGTGGGTAAGACCATTATGTAAAGTTTTCAGGAAGTACCTAGAATTTTAGACAAGAGGCAATAAACTTTTGTCCCAGTCAAGTATCTGATTTAAAATACTAAGTAAATTTTTTCATGTGATTTAGGAACATGTATGACATCTAGCCAGTAACTTGTCTACAAGCCAGAAGACACTTAAAAATATGGCTATGACACCTCTAAGCAGTGAACTATAGCATTAAAAAAAGAGACCATGTTTACAAACTTCAATATTTCTCCTTAAAAAATGGAAGGAACGATGACAGTTTTCTCATTGGTACCATCAGTAGACTCTGAGCATTCTGGAGGGCTTCATCCAGTGAGATTTTTAGTAAACAGTTAACTTCTTCCCATGGTTCAATGGAAGGAAGAAAAGGTAAAGAAAAGCTATGGAAAGAAGAGGTTGGGGCATTTCTGGGCTTGCTGGTCATTTGCTTGTGATGGGCAAGCATACAGCATATGGTATAGTACTGTTTATACATGGTGCACAATGTAGGAGTTTTCCATACATTATTGATAGTTTGCTGCACTGTCTCTGTAATCAGCATGTATTCTTAATTCACAGGGGGAAAAAGAAACAGGTGCTGCTATTTTGAAAGTTAGACTTGTACAGCAAAGTACAAGCTGTACTTGAACTTGTCTTGGTTGCCATCATCGTCTGAGAAGAAAAATTGTTGTTTTCTGCTGGTTTGGACACAGTTTTAATTTTTGTGTCAGTTGTGGCTGGTAGTTTAAATCTAGGGAGGAGAAAACATGACTTTTGCTTGGTTACTTTTTGCTGTTTTATTAATTACTTGGTAACAGGTAGCTCCTACAGAAAGCCTAAAACCAAAACAAACTAAAAAAACCACAAAGAAGAAAATCCCTCCAAAAGCCATGCAGCAATACAGTAAGCTCACTTGTGTACATTTTCATAGATATGCTCCAGATTTATCTTCCTGCAAACTTGCTTATTGTGTTTGCGCCTCCTCAGGGTGAAAATGAAAACTATAGAAGGTTACAGCTCTCGCAGTGGTTACAACCAGTAGACCATGAAAATTTGGCTTTTGTTGTACTTTCTTCCAATGGTTTCACAGAGTAAATTCAGCTCAAAGGAGCAAACTGTAGTATCACTACTAGTGGCATTCTTGATCCGTTTGGCTCAATAGGGAAAAAAAAAAAAAAAAAGTAACTTTCCAAATAAAAACTTCTGCATTGGCATGAGTTCACTGCCACCTGTAGGTGAGTAGGTTGGACCTACAAGGGATAGTTTCATTTGGATGACAGAGCTCCAATTACTATAAGCCTACAGCTACCCCAGAAGTGTGTCATCTACCAAAGATACCTATTCAATTAGCCTTTTTTAGAGAGGTCACTGGTGTACCTTGTAGCATATATTTGTGCCAACATTGTCATGTCTTGAAAATATTTAAAGAGTAAAAGACAGACAGATTGGGTAAGACATGGATATAGGAAGGGAGTGGTACTCTCCTCTTCTAGAATGGCATCCCCACGCAGGGGAAACTACTCAACAACTCGGTTTTCGTACTGGGCAAAAAATTTTTTGTGAAATGTACAGACAGGTTTGGAAAAGAAAAACTCATTAAAAATCTGTTTAACTGCATTGTTTATGTTTGTTTTCTAAGCCTGTAAGTGAACAGCTAAACTTTAATGGGTTGCATTATAACTATAGATTTTTCCAGTAGAAATCTTTGTTAACAGGTCATGGAAGTAATGATAAAAAATTCCTGTCCCTCTCCACTAGTTTTTCATTTCATTGTACTCTCGTGTATTTTTTGTTATGTAGACTCTCCTAAGCTTATTACTGTATCTTCATTGTTTCTAGCTACTGGGTTTTAAGTATAGACTTTGTCCTTTCAGTAGACTGCTTTGCTTACAGTGGCTATAAAATAATAATTAGAAATCAGCTTCTAGAAATGTTGCTTCATCTTCCAAAAATGTACTTGCTTTTTGCAAGTCTGCTAATATCGGAATGAGAGTATAATAAAGAACGGTATTATTAGGTGGCATTCATCACAGGGTGCCAGTTTAAAATGTGTGTCCGGCACTGCTGTTGCACCAATTATCCCTGACCTTTTTTTCTGGCCTTGGGGTATGATATTATTACAGAAGACTGATTCAGGAATATTTTCTCTCTAATATTAGTTAAAGCAGATTTCTGCACAGAGCTAACTATTCTGTTAGGGTCCTTTCTGTTAAGCTGCTAAATTTTTTGCCATGGAATTTAAGTTGAATTTTTTCAGAAATGTTAATAACTAGTGCCCTCTCCTATATATCCAAACTATTGCAACTGCAGTGGTAATATGTGTTATTATTTCTGTAGTCTTTTAACTACTGGGAAAGCATTGCTATAAGGAACATGCATGCAGGTTCTTTCTGCTTTAGATTTCAGTGTTAAGTATATTTATCAAATATTTCATGTGCTCGATTAGTACATGTGTTTTGGGTTACTTTTTAATCCATGCTTCAAAATCAAATCAGTACAGTGAGATGGATAGTAGGCACAATTTAGGAAGTTCTGAATTTTATTTTATTGAGAGTGGCTACACTGTCATTACTATTTCCATATCAGCATTACACCTTGAGAGACAAAGAGAAAGAGTGAACCTCCCTTGTTCAGTTTCAACATCTAATTTGAATCTTTTATGCAAGCCATCTGAAGTGCTGCCACCACTTGTTTAACTTCTGTAAGATAAAAAGGAGTTGAAGCAGTGGAATATTATGGCTTATTAATGACTTTGATAATTTTCAGATGATGTTCAGACACTTCCTTTAATTTAAAATATGTTTTTTTAAATAAAAAAGTAGGTGCATATTTTATGCCAAAGTTCATTATAATTCTAATAAAAAGGTTATAGTTTTAGGAATTTTGTGTCTTCTGCTTAAAGATATAGCTACGCTTAAAATTAAAGGCTGACTTCTTTGTTTACTTTTGCGCTGATTTTATTAAATAAATTCTTGAGAGTTAGTTAGGTTTCTGGGTGCACAATCCTTATTTACCTAAAACACATTCGAATAAAAATCTTCAGTCAAAGCATATCTGCTTTACTGAAAGCATTGTAAATCATTTTGTATGTGGTAGTTTTGAAAATAAACTGGTTTTTGGCATGCTTACATCTGTCTGTGAATTGATTAGAAGATCTATCAGTGTTAATATCCCCAAATGCGGTAGGAGCACTTTTAACAGATAGTGATTTGTGCTCAACTAAAATGTTGTTTGAGTAGCCTTGTTTGCTGTCAGTTGAACATCATCTTTATCATTACCTATCTGTTATGGAGTTAGGAATATTCAACTATAAAAATGCTAGTCTCAAGTTTAAAAAAACCACAGTGTGTATTTTAAACGTATTTGGTCATCTTTTTAAACCTGATATGGTAAAGAACTACTGTTCACATTGTTATGTTCAGCTAGCATCTCTTAATTTTTTCTTATTTTACTTTGAGAAGCTAAGTAT